GGCCTAATGTGTAATGAAAACGAAACTATTTAAGCAGAATTATTGTAGCCTATATTCCTGTAATGAAGTGATTGGCAATGGCAGCTTGCCGAAACATGTAACACGTTGATGAAGGTTACTTTTGGAACTGATAAAAAGTAATGTAAAACCAAATATTGTAGGTTATTTCAGTTCCAGGGCTACAACAATTAATTTTAATGATATTGGACTGTACAGTTAAAATAGGCTAAATTACAAAATATAAATACCTAAGTTTACTACAAAGTTGGTTGTAAAAAAGCAAACCTTTTTGTTATCGTCATTGTATTTGTACTCAGTGATGATTTTATATCCATTCTGGATAGTTTCGGTAGGTGGAGGTAAAGCACCTCCTTCTTCTTCCACTTCATCGGCCCAACTTGACTTAACCTCCTCTGCCACTGGCATTCTGAAAATAATCAAAATTTTTGCCAAATAAGTACCTAAAAATTTTAGAATATTACTAGTGATAGGCCTACAACCACCATTAGAATAACATTATTTTAGAGGCCATTCAAGTTAATTTCTTTCCAAAAGCAATGATTCAGTTAACCCTCCAAGTGTCCATAGTAATGGTATTAATGTCTGCCCATTTATTGCGCGATTGCAGGGTTTTATTAAAATGTATCTTAGAAACTTAAAAACAATGTAAAGTATAATGTTTTATATATCATTTTGTTTGGGAAATTATGGGCTTCAATGCAATACAAAAAACATTACAAAAAAAAACAATTTTTGTGGGGATAACATTTCTCAAAAATTATAAAATAAATGAAAAAAATTTATGTTTGCGGTCAATAAATTTTTATAATTTATAAGTCTACAAATTTTTTAAAATAGCCACTTTGTTCTAAATTTTATAAGGATTACAAAAATATAATAATATAAGGTAAGTAAATTTGCAAATAAATAAGTTATGGGTGAAAAACAGATTTCGTACCGTACATTTAGCGTTAGCTAAGAATGCATAGCCTAACCATAGCTAGGAATCTGGCCGACAATGTACATCAATATCACTACCTACTTCTTAAGGATCATCAACCAGCCCTTCAAAATGACTTTAAAAATCTTCTTATAATGCAAAACTACGTATATCACTAGCCTACTTTTTATTTTTAACACTAAAACAATGATAAACGTAATAAAACACATCAGTCATCGGTGCGAGGTTAACCAAGTTGTTTACATATACGCACGTCAGCTGTCTGCTACAATATTTTCGGAACTAAAATGAAAAGCGTCTAGAAACAGACATCAGGAGAAAGCTTGGAATCTGCCGAAAACAACGATACCAATCTCGATTCAGTTCAATCTGATTCAGTCAGTCCCAGAGCCTTTGCCATAAACGATGTTTGCGTGTCGCAAAAGCGACGCATAACACCACGGCGGGTGTGTTGTGCGTCGATTATGCGACGCTTAACACTCTGAGGGTTAAGTAGCCTAATTTAGAGTTTGAAAATAGCCAGTTGGAATCATAAGAATGCTCGGTCCCTATTGGACCTAGTTTGTATTGAAGATCTATGGTCTATGATGCTTAAGCTAAGCGTCAAATCAGATAAGGACTAGGCATAATTTTAGTACCGACTGGTATTCAATAGCCTAATGTTATCCAATAAGGTAGGCTACCGTACATGATTGATTAAATGATTGGCTGCAATCTGATAATATATCGTAGGCTCTATCCGGCACTGCACAGCCATATTATTGGATGTGCCTATGACACCTTCGCTTTACAATTTTATAGCCTAGGCAATTTTTTTTTATAAGGTTAGACATAAGTTAGGCTTTCAGAGCAGACCTAAGTTAGGTTTGAATGAGTAAATAAAAAGTTTCTTAATCAAGCTTACTTAATTCTATTACTGCACTAATATGATAGGCCATTTTTTAATAAAGGTAACCTTTCTCCTACATCATCTTTCATGTATTTTCGCCTTTTTCTCGTCCAGGGTTAGTTCTGAAGATTTGTTGATAAGCCTTAACTTACCTAGGCTTTTAGTCATCACAGGCTGCACTTTACTTTAGATCCTACACTCATTCGAATGAAAATATTGATTAATCGATATATCGGTCGATATTTTCATTCGAATGAGTATAGGACCTAAAGTAAAGTGCAGCCTCATCACATTTAAATCTTAGTCTATAGTGTGTTAAGTTAAGGTTTGGTAGGCCTAAGGTAACATCGCTTGTATGGTAGCCAAAATTATGTTACCCAAAGTTTTTCAAAACATGAAATAGGCTATCACAGTCTACTGAGATAGAGCAATATAGGCTATGTTTTCCTACTGTGAAAGGATAGGCTAGGCCTATCCCTATCCCAGGATAATTCAATATCGAACAAAGCGAAAGCAAAACTACTGTAGGCCTAGCCTACGTGTTTTAACTGACATCTGTCAAATTTATTTGACCGTAGAGTAGACCCAAATTTACAAAGAAAAGGATACTAGTATACATTTATTGAAACATACACACTATTGATGCATAAAAAGATTTAAACTTACTTGATTGACGCGTGTAAGTAAAAAAAGTCTAGCTTGACAGAAAGAAAAACTAAAAACAGATCTAAAGTTTTGTTTTAGGTTATGGGCAATTATCATCACACGCGAACGCGAAACGCGACAGAAAGAGACTCGACGTTCTGTACCCACGAGCACCTTCGCCTCCACAGAGCTCTTGGAACACTTTCCGAGGTAACTGTTACTTCCTATGTGTATTAGCTTCTCACAGCTATCCGCTGTAACTGTTATTATTCCATGAATTTAAGTTGTGGTTACAGTTGACAGCGACAGCAGCAGCTGTACCAATTTGAAGGGTGAGCAATTTTTCGTCTAAAAACGCCGTGCGATTTCGCGACTATCGTTCGTTACTCTATCGAATCACATCATCTATACTACTATACTATCGATTCGATTCTTCGATTGTAGTTGTCGTTTGTTTTGTCGTCTGTTACGGCGGATCTGTCAGAGGCTTTATTTGCATCGAGCGTAGCGTACAATGTTTTGTAAGGACGGATATAATTAGAATTCCTTTTAGGATCAATATTATTTTTTTTTATAAATTCATCCTGATCACACTTTGAAATTAATCGGCTAGTTTGTTCTTCTCGCCAAATTTAAGAATAATTTAAGCAACTGAATAAATATTGATCAAATCCCAATCATCAAGTTAGGCTATGAAGAGTAGAATGGTAGATATACCTAATTTTCTCTGGCAACCACTCACAGTTGGAGTAAGCTCTAGTTGAAAAATTGAACATTTAAAGGAGCCTGGAGAATATGATATTTTGTGTTAGGTCATAGACAAAAAGAATTGTCTATGGTTAAGTTACAAAGAGCCTACACGAGTGTTCCTTGAACAAGGCCAAGACCTAAGTTAAAGAGCAGAACTGATAAATTTTTTTAGTCCACTATGTACTGTTAAAATTGTATTACTGATGATAATATGCTCATTTATTTTTCATTCTATCTTACAAAACGTTAATTTAATTATAATAATTCATATTCATTATTATATTTTTTAATTTACCAAAGCAATAAATAAGTTAGTTATTAGGTGGTATCATGCAATAAACTATAGCTGAAAATCTTTAGTAAACACTTTTTAATTATTAGCAGAACCAACATCCATTGCAGGAAACCTAATTCTCATTTTTGAATCCAGTTTTATGTCCATGAATTAAGCTAAGTACATTAGAACCCCAGAAACTCAACACCGTCAGGACTTAAAACAGCGTCAGCTTTTAAAAATTTAAAGTTTACAAAAGTGACAGGTTATAGAGTAACAGCAATATTTTACGATTTTTTCTGTTTTAGTGATGGTTAAGAATGTATTTTAAAAGATAATGCCAGAGCTAGGCCTATACATATTCACTCTACACGGATATTACAGCAATTAAATTTCATTTTCGTAAAAATATTGTACGGTACGTAATAATGTTTTAGTTTAGTCCTTTCAAAGGAAAATATATGTCAGCCTTATTTCGAAACCTTAAGAAAGTGCCAAAGTGTCCCATAATGTACAATCACATATTTTGATTTCCAACCACCTCATTTGTAGAAAAAAATAATACTTAACCAAAGGGTTCCAATACAGTACAGCACATGAATTGATCAGAAACATGTATGTTAAAATCATAGGCCAAACCAAACTGAACCTAACTCCTCAGACCTTGACAAAATTGTTCCATGAACACAATATGCTTTCCATTGGTTTGACGCTTATCACATTCTGATGTATTTTTCATATTACTGAGCATGTATGGAACTTGGTAAATGCAAGATTAATTCTAGACTGTCAAGACTGCTCGACACCCTCACCCTGTACAACAATAATCAGAACAGCGTTCTGGTGATAGGTTGGTGAATAAAATTAAATCTAATTTAAACCAGTTTTTTTATTTAACACATCATTTATTCATTATTATTAACATATTTACAGGGTTTCTACAGAGTTTAACAATAATTCAATTCGGTAGAATCAAAATTCTAGGCCAAACATTAATCTAAGCAAATGTAAGAACAAATATTTTGAAATCTTAAAATAAGTGATGGAAGAAATTGCTACAGTAGGTACGCCAAAAGGCCTCCTTTAAGACTGTAAGTACTTAAATGATTTACTCAAGTCACACAGTTTCATATACAAAGTTTACTACTAATACAAATTATTCTACTGGATGGATTTACATACATAGCAATATGAAAATGAATTAATTAAAATACTTTTTGAATTATTAAAACTTCAAATTCTCTGAGGGTTTCTACCATCAGGGAATTGAAATTTAGCCAGGGGAAGTGAGGTAAACCTGGTCAAAAGATAGTTTTGTCACTAGTTTTGTTTCAATAAGAAAATGAATATAGCCTACGATAGGAAAACTGTAATCTATGGGTTTATTTACAATTAAGTTTATCATACGGCCTTAATTTTTAATTTATACACCCACAGATTACAGTTTTCCTATTGTAGGCTATATTCATTTTCTTATTAAACAAAACCAGTGACAAAATTATCTTTTGGCCAGATTTTACTCACTTTCCTCAGCTAAATTTCAATTCCCTGATGGTAGAAACCCTCAGGGAATTGAAATTCTCATACACATTAGTTTACAAAATAGTTAGTTTAGCATGTCAATTTTTGTACGTTTTGATGGGCTGCAATCTTGTTCAGTTATAGTAATGATGCGGGCTGCTTTCAGACAATCTGCAGTAGTCCCCACTCTACTGCTCTGACCTGAAAAAAGTATGCCAACATTAAGCATGGAAATTGTTATACTTGAATTAGGGATGGACGGGACAGGATGGCATTTTATTTCCCTAAATCATCAGGAAATATTCCTTCACAAATTTAATCAAAATTACCGTTTACCGTAAATGGTATTAACAACCATTTAATGATACAATCTGATAAGAAACATAAATATCTGTGTTGCAGCAGACCTGCATACTCAGCAAATTTCAAATGCTTCAACAAATAATTAAAATGGAGCCTCACATCAAGTTTTGTCATTTTTTGTTCATAAATAAGCATTCAAAAATATCCTCCATAAGAATAACATGGGAAATGAGTATGCATGTTTACAAAGTTTTCCATAAGAATAACATGGGAAATGAGGATGCAGGTTTATCAAGTTTTATTAAGATATCTTTAGAAATAAGGAAAATATACAACTTTATTTATTCCCCATTTAGGTTAATATTGGGACAACGTACTGTGTTTACCTCTATCAATATCTCGGTAGGTAACCACTGGATATATATAAATTTGAACGAATAGTGTTATTTGTATCTTGGGGCCCCAAAACAAAAAATTATGATGGTCCCGGGTTTAAGTCTTACCATGAGACCTACGGTAATAGCTTCTTCCCTAAAGGGGTATTTGCTAATAAATACCCCTAATTTTTACAATGATCAAAAAAAGAATGATTTTAACCATCTGTTAAGCTAATCAAAAAAATAAATGTACTTATTATTCATTTTACACATTTTAAAGAACAGTGGACTATAATACCATAGATAAAACATACTCCCTTAGTAGATTTCTCATCCTTATGGAACAGCTGAAGACAATTTTATTGTTAGTTCATGTACGGTTTATGTAGAGGTCGTGTTTTGTTTACAATTTGTTTCCCGTTATTACAGCCATTTAAAACCTCGTTTAAACAAATAATACAATCTAATCATAAACAATAACTTGTCCCCTAGTTATATAACCAAACAGTAAAGCACAAATCAAGAAATTAACCCTAAAATAATGGAAACAAAGTTTCATCGACACTAGGGCCTTTGTGTCACGTACATGAACTAGAGACGACAAACGTGCTTCAAAATTTACAATGGGATGAGAAGTCTACTTGTGTTGGTTAGTCTATGATAATACCCTAACTAAGAAAACTCTTACAAGTCAATAAAAAAAAAGTTGAGTTAAAAGTTAAGACAATTCTAAACTTTTCATGGGAAAACTTATATTTGGTTGTTATTGTTATTTATTTGGTTGTGCAGCCAGATCATGATGGGCATGGTACTAGGCCCTACTCGAGAGCTCTTCATTGATTCCAGAACAGCCCTACAATTACAAACAACAACAACAGCAAACTGTATTACCAATGTATTTGTTCATCCCTAGTAGTTAGGATAAAATACTGTTGTCAGATAAAATTTCATATACATATTAGACGGGCAAAAGTTTAACAAAAATATTATAGCCTAAAGAAACAATAACTGTACCTTGTTTCTTATGCAGACTCAATTTTCGGTAATTTTTTCTTTTAATGCTTTTTCCATTAAAGGTTTCTTCATGCGCTTGAATGGGCAAACCATTGCTTTCATCATTTGAAACTTTGGAGGTCATAAATTCCAGACATCCCTGCAGAATCTCGTTTCCTTTCTGTAGGCTTTCCTCATCCAAGTTCCACATCACCGATTCAATGGAGCGCCAAGTTGCCTTTGCTAAATTTAATAGGTGACGTTTGTTACTCCCCCGTCGTTGAAGTTCAGAGTAATGGGTGTTCAATGGAAGTTCTTCAATGTCATGTCTATGGTCCAAGAATTTGTCATGAATGGTACAATTATTACTATTCTCATCCTCATAATTGCTCAATTCATCGTCACATTTAAAAATGGGATTATCAAATAGCAATTCATGAACTAAGTTTAAATCAAACTTTTGGTAGTGAATGCTGATGAAGATCATGTGTTTGCATATTAATCTCTCCTTTCTAAAGTCTGGGCAGGTACAGCTAGATTTCCTATTGTTTAGGTCAAAATTGACATCGTACGTCATGGTTGAGTGGATTTGAAAATGGATTTCAGAAACAGGCACAATAACACAACCATGTAGACTTTCAGCTGAAGTTAGTCTATCCATGACATGAGTTACAAACCACTTAGGACGCCCGTGTAAGTACTTAGGAATTTCTTCAGAGTACATTCTACAGCTTGATGACATTGTTAAGTTTTCCCTAACATATGTCAAATACCTTTCGGGTAAGAACTGGCTCAATAAAACCGAGACAATCTCACTCAGAGAACATCCTTTGTACCCTTCTAGGTACGTATATTTTAATTCTTTATTGAGTCTTTCAACTCCGTTGTTTGAGTTGATGAACATTTCTAATGGTTTGTAAGCTAATGCCCAACGTTTGATCTCGGGATACCATGTGTTCTCAAAATAGTTTTTCAACGTTGACTCTTTATAATGTTTCCACTCTTTCAATGTTTTTACAGCCTCTTCCATTTTTGCAATGTTGGGGGCATTAGCAATTTTCCTTAATAAATTTAAGGCTTCTTTACGTGGAATTGACACATTTTTAGATTTTGATAACCATCGGCTCCAAGCCTGTTCCCGATGGAATGAACAGATGAAAACATTGATATTCTCGAAAACTTCTTCAAGACTGACAATTTCTTCCATGGCGAAATCCACCATTCCATACTGTGGGGTTATGTCTGGGTTGAAGGAGCGGAAAATGTTTAGCCCTTCAGTAATCGATTGAGTCGTTTCAAACTGTGTAATCATCACACCAACGACTTGGTAGTTCACGTTAGTTTCCACAACGATAAAATATAGAGGTAAAGCATACTTGCATGTTCTATAAGTCGCATCTAACAATATCGTGTTCTTTCCATACTTTCTGTAGAGGCGTTTCATGTCTTTATTTTGGAAAACAAAAAGTAAATGACTTGAAGTGGCATCCATTTCTTCTGCTGGGATACTGTTGTCATCATCCTTAAAGCTGTACGGCCGGAAGAAAATGTTATTGCTTTTGTCCTTTTGAAAATCTTCCAGATATTTTAAACAATTTTCCTGATCAATTGGACTCCTCTTAATTTTAAGTTTTGTTGAGGATATTATATTTCGAATTGTTTTCATGTCTGGAAAAAACTTTCTACGGGACCGATCACATTCATTGAGCTCGTTTTCAGCAAAAGCGTTTGCAAGTTTGGCTATTACTATGGAATTCCTTTGGCCTTTGACAACAAGATCAGAAATGAATTTCCTCACTCTTTTGTCGACTGGTTCAACTGCATCAGCTTCTTCTCCAATCAGATGATTTTTGTGCTCATCTTGAGCTGGCAAGTTGTAAAAATAGCCCTCTTCTCCTAAATCTGTCTCATCCGATATTGATTTCTTGATTAACTTGGAGGCAGCTCGTTTTTTCACATCTGTCATTTCATCAGTCACCTAAAAGCAAAAAACACTTAACAATGTAAAATTGTTTAAACCTAACAAATTATGCGCTAGAGACAGTAGAACCCTGCTAACCTGTCACCCAAGCGACCCATTTTTGAACCCTAAGGAGAGGAGGAGGACCTCCCCACTGGAGGAACATAAACCGTAGAAATAACAGTCATCCCGTAAGAATCAATAATCGTTTAACATTGTAAGATTTTGGATTACATTGTTGAATTGGGATAGATTGTTAAGGCTAGCGGTCAAAGTTTAATAAAAATGTATTATTGTTTTGTTTTTTAAATACCAGATGACTGAAACCAGATGAACTGAAAGATGGTGCTAGGCTTATAATTGCTCTAAACAAATTCACGTTGCAAAAATACTCAATATATAAATAAAAAATTTGAAAGTTGTAAAGGTTTTATCATTTGGCTAGGCCGGGCTACCACAATTTTTGAAGGTCTTGGTTGAAAGAATTCAGTGCAACAATCATAGAAATCTGCTTAAGATATCTGGATCAAAAATTTCAGTGGTTTATGACAAGTCTGCAGCTGTCAAAGCATGAGACACCTACTCAGTATGTTGATATGATGTTACACTTCTTTTTACAGGATAAAAAATTTAGCATATTTAAATTTATATTTAAAATCTGCTAACAAAAAGTTTTTAAGACTATACTGAACTCAACCTTTTTCGGACCGTAATATGAAAACTTAAAGGGATAAAATAATTGCAACTGAATAAATGGGGTTGATCTCTTTTTATTAATGACTATTGCAGTAACGGGCTGTACCCTGCCAGTTTAAGTAGTTAGTGGCTTTAAAGATGTAACCTCGCAAGGAAAAATAAGTCTGAAAAGTTTATTAAAAATGCCTGAATAGTTAAAATTTATGAATAATCAGTGATCATGGATAAAGAACAATATTGTAACAGAAAACATAATTCAAGCCCAACAAGTACGTTCCTTACCTGGTGATTCATAAATCGGACTACTCGCTTGACAGTAATTTTTGCAGGACAGTCTAGTTTTTTTGTTGTCTGAACTTTTTTGTATCGCTTCACAAATATGTGGTCATCCATTGCCTACAAACATAAACAGGTTTCAAATTAGGTATACAAAAAGACTAAGGTATAATACTTCAAAATAGTAATTAAAACATTAATCTATCAGGAATTATGTTGTGTTTTAGTGGTAGTAGTGCAATGTAACTAAATGTGGGCAACAACACTGTGTAATGGGTCCAATAAATAATTAAATAAATAATAATAAATAGTAATGATCGAGTAAAAACAAATGATTAATTATCGGAACGGTACGGTAATCAAACAAATTATTAATATTCAATTCAATAATGGACGCTTAGTTAGGTAACATGGTGGTTAAATTAGAGTCAAATGGTTTTAAGAAAAGGATTAATCGTAAATGTTCCAAGAGGGCTAGATGAGAGCCCTGATTGTCGTTGACGAAGACGAAGGGCAGGATTAGACACAAATCGGTATTCTGGGCATCCAGTTGGATTGGGTTGAGAACTACTGTAACGCTTTTGAGCTCAAAAACAGAAATTTTCCGTTTTCATGGTATTCACAGTTCCAGGGTTGAGCAACCGACGCGCAAGCTCGATGACGAAGCAAGGCTTCATCACTTCTTCACTGATCTTGACACCGTTAGCATCTACGACAACTTTTACTTAATTAACATCGTTCCGTTACCAATCTTTATGTAATATACCATCTACTGGTGGTTTAATACCTGCAGTTTCGTCCTTTCGTTTTCGTTATTTTTTTGATACCTATAACTTAGTTTTGTTAAGAAAATAATTTTGCTCAGGTCTATATTCAATTAAAAATCTTATGTCGGTTAGAATTTCAAGATCTAACTTTAATATTCTTAACATTGGCCTTATGGAGTGAAAATCAAAATCAACGAATTGGTGAAAACAGCGGTTTAAATTCATCACGAGGTAACTTCAACAATAATTGACTGGAGAGTGTAGTGTTGGTTCAACAAATATGTATCAAAAAATTGTTTACAAGCCAGCCAGTTAAATTGACTGTAATAGTCTATTAATAGGCCTAATACAATTTATTCCTCGGTTTTATGAAGTGACGTATTACCGAGAGAATTCTCAGTCAACCGGAGGTACTTAGTTTTATCTCCTTAGTTTACTCTGTGAAATCTGTTACAGGACTGTGAAGTTTTATGTTGAAAGATTTTTTTATGTAAACATATGGTTAGGTAGTCTACCTTTAAATCTCGTTGAGCAGCATACTTCTTTTTTGCACAGGCACCAATGTCTTTTCCTTGATGGCATACGTACAATATGGATTCCAACCAAATGTATGGAATGTTTTCCTGCCATTGAACCCTCGAAGTTGGCTTGGAGATCGCAGCTGTAAAGTTAATGATAAACAAATCACTCTGTAGCATATTTTATAATATGAAAAAGACAGGCCTAGGATGGATCCTGACCTAGCTTTACAGCTTAAAAACCTCTTTATGTTGGTTTCCTAATGTTGGAACTTTATAATTATAAAAAATGTCATGGGTAATTAACAAAATCTTTGTTTATCTCATATAAAAGCTAGGCCTAACTTAATCCTCTAATTGTGTTCAGGGTGAAATGTTACACAAGGTAAGTAGACTTACCAATTAGGCCTAGTTAACTTAAGTTACGGTAGGGAAAATCTTAAGTTTAAAGGCCTATTCCTTACTTCACCTCAAGAGGGCAATTTCTTTACTTCAGTGTACCTTAAAACCTATATATTTGTTTCTTTTAATACTCATAATACTTTTTTATGAAATGGCGACCATACATAGCAGGTATTTTAAGCCAAGTATGAATGGAGATGAGTGTGGGATGAGTGGCGCGATCTTGTAGTCTTGTTAGTGACTAAGGCCGAGATTCCTTAGACACAGCTGTTAATTAATAGCCCATACAGCTAATGGCAACTAAGGGACCTACAGTTTATACCTAGTGGAATCCGAACCACATTTTTTTTGCCTTGGTATACACGAATTGGTCTAATTTTCTCTTAGGCTACACACAATATTCCTCAGATTACAGCAAATCTCATTAAACAATCACATTTAAACTCACAACAATGCCTATTGTAACTTCAGTTAAGTTAGGCCTTACTTAGGCAAACCTTCGGAATTCGTCTCCACCAAAATGAATTTGATTGTTTCTACTTCTTAGGCCTATCGATATATCGATTAACTTACTGTTTGTGCAAAGTGGACTGAAGCATATAAGATGGTAAACAATGTTAAATCTTAAAGGCCTAAATTTTAAGCCACAAGTTTATTAAAGTTACGTCATCTTAGTTGAGTTAAGTTTAACCTATTTATTACGTTACATTACGTTAACTCGATGTTTTGATTAGTTCAACTTAATGAGTTAAGTTAGGTAGTTTAAATAGTTGAGGCCTAGTTAACTTATTAAGTTAGGTACCTTAGTTTTGATTATATTTCGGTTATAGCTTAGATAGTGGATTAAAACAATCGATTTAACAGGGTGTTAGACGAATTCCGAAGTTTTGCCGTAACTTAACTTTGACAAATAGGCTAGGCCTATAATGCTTGATTCACCAACAATGACTTTCAAACAAATAATCTCTGACCTGTTGGTAGTCTTTACGCAATTCTATTACCTATGCCTAACTTAATTAGGCATAGGCCTAACTTATGCAATATGATAAAATCAAAATCATCAAGCAGAACTTAGGCTACGTCAAGTCAATAGCCTAAGTGGGGGCTGCACTTTACTTTAGGTCCTAGCCTACACTCATTCGAATGAAAGTATCGATTATTCGTATTCAATTGTTTCATTCAATATATCGTTTGGTTAGTTAGGTTAGGTGAACCTTACCTAACTAACCAAATGATAGGCCTAACTTATATCGAATAATCGATATATCAAACGATATTTTCATTCGAATGAGTGTAGGACCTAAAGTAAAGTGCAGCCGTAGTGGGTACAGTTTCTTAACTGGGCTATGCTAATATCGATTAAAACTAAGTTTTTAAATTCAAAATATTGATTAATCGTTAATTTTAAATAGGGATCTATTATAAAATTAAACTATCATAACCTAACCTAACCAACCAAACTTGCTGATGGTGAAAAATTCGCATGAAGGTTTACTAATCGAATCGATAGTTTCGATCGATATTAGCATAGCCCAGTTAAGAAACTGTACCCGCCTAAGGTATAACACAAAAAGTTACAAGAGAACCTGGAAGTTAGGCCTAACATAACTCAGTTTTTTAGTTGGGCTTTTTTTGTAATTTTATCGAACTCGAAATAAATAGGCCTAGGCCAACAACTTGTGTAAGTTAATGAGCATTTGGGATGAGTTACAATAATACCTTCACGTTCGAATTAGAACCACCAATTAGGCCTAATAATTGAGAAAACCAATTAGTCGACTCACCTTTGACATCTAAAACTTTCTTAGTACATGTGCAAAGGTTGAACCTCGTTCTGGTAGTTGTTTCCATTTCAGCTAGCCTCAATGAAAAATCTTCATAGCTATTAGAGATGAAACATTTAGGCCTAACTACATTTTCTTTAATTCCACTTCCCATATCTAATTCCGAGTCCGAATCCATTTTGTCGAATAAAACATAGGCTACACAACACCACAACCCCTTACCCTTAGTACTCCGCCATTTAGCTTTACACGTTTAGTTAGTTTTAGTTTACTTACTGTACTTTGTTCTTTTGTTTCGTTTAGCTTTCTCTTCTCTTCTCAATAATCGATTGAATCGAACCCATTTGGTCCGAAATAATATCGATACTTAGTATTTCGATATTTAACCGATAGTGCACGGCGTTTTTAGACGAAAAAATGCTCACCAATTTGAAGTACGTCTACGCCTACGTGATTAAATAATAAATTCAACTTGGACAATGTAACTACGAAAATGGTTATTTTTATTGGGGAAAATAAAAATAGTAAATAGATCTATGAATATGTAAAATGTTTTATGCTAGAAATTATGTTTACATCACAGTGTTTTAGGCGAATTTCCCAATAGGGGAGTAAGTTAGCTATGTAGGTGGCACGGTAAGACCTAGACCCGGGACCGATTTCCTTTTTCATTTTGATGTCCCCAGAGGCCAAAAACACCAATTTTGATGACATTTCGGTTTGAAGTTGTAAAGGTGGGATAAACTTAAATGAGTTTACTAACCAGCATGATCGGATCATGGGAACGGGCTTTTATGGGATAAGTTTTTCTGATTTTTGACCCACAAAATAAAAAATTCCCAATTTCTCTCTAGACCCTTTTAAAGAGCTTAAAAAAAATAAATAATTTACTTAGTAGCCTACATATATCAAAGTTTTTTTGTACGGTTAATGGTAACGGATAACATTCAAAAAATTGTAAACTTCCTGATTTTCTTCCTTGTTCACATGGGAAACTATATTCCCATGTGATTCTTATGGAGAATATTTTAAACTGTTGTTTGCTTGTTTATGGACATATTTTAATCAAACTTGGCAATTTCTTTTTTATTTTATACTAAGCTAAGTGTAGTGGCACCACACTATTAATATTTTACTAAAAAACACACTTTATTAGTTTCTTTGTAGCATCAAACCTAAGTACTCGAACCTAATGTTATAGATTTGATTGAAAATCAATCTAGACAAATGGAAATTCGCTTAGTCGGCAGGTTTGCTTGGTTGGCGGGGGGAGGTTTTCTTGAAGAGTAGGCCTATTTTAATAATTAATTGTTACTCCCATTAATTAAGGTAGTTAAATTATTAATTTATCGTCACTCTTTACAATCCACAATTGAATTAACTGTGACATATTAATTAATTAAATATATAGGCCCTATACATTTTTTTTTTTTTTTTTTTTTTTTGGTAGGAAGGTGTGAATGCATTTACGCACACCCTTGCTCCTGCAAGGGTAGTGTGGGACTAACAGAAACAGACTACCCACTAAACACACCTCCCCCCTCCCTCTAAGATGGCTGGGGAGGGCGGTCACAGCGTAGCAGGATTTGGTCATGATTTTCCGCAGCCTTTTTCTGTGAACAAGAGAAATTTTACAAACAAATTCTTTCTTAAGCATTAAGAACAGTCAGTAATTGTTTACCTAGACTTTATCCTTTGCAATTTTTTCCTTTGAAACATATAAAATTATTTTTTTATAAAGATAGAAGACCAGAAAATATTTGTGAAGCAAGAGGTAATAAAATGGGGTTTTCTTTTCTTTTAGGCATTGTACAAATGCAGTGGGCATCGTCAATATATACAACTTAGCCTAAGGAAAACCATGCAAACAAAGCACTCAAAATAGGTCTGCCTCACTAATTGGAGATATAAACAATCAGGTCGCTAGGGCCTATCGTATTTCTTGAAGGAAATAATAATAAAGAAATTTGTCTATTGTCTATGTCACTTTTAAGCGTATTTCTAAGTAAAAGATAAAAGAGACATGTAGGGATAAAAGAGTGTCAGAAAAAGTAATATTGGGGTGAGGGGATGGTATAAAAACGGAAAGTAAATAAAAGATACATCTAATAACACTTATAACATATATTTACACTTATACTGTTAACTCACAAGATCTTTTATGTATATTTACCATCTTGTGAGTTAACAGTATAAGGGTAAATATATGTTTTAAGTGTTATTAAACGTAACTTTTATTTACTTTCCATAAATTTAATAACACGTACAAAGCTGATCAAGAAGTTATTTAGTATAACATCCAAAAAAATTACAAAATACAAGATCGGGTAAAGGGTGGGAGTAGCCAGGTAACAAGGTAGGTAAATAAATTAACGTTAGGTTAGATTATTGTTTATGTAAAAAATAACCTAGCCTACAACATAACATTACCTTATGTGGTCGTTATCACCTCTACGACAGAAGAGCACCTCTTTAATCTCAAATGCTTTTCCGAAGAAATTATTTAATCGTAATATATTCTTAGAAATTTGTTTTGAGTGACATATATCTTCCTAGGAAAAAATTGCAGGTCTAGGCAAACAATTAACGAACAGTCATAAGGCATTCCCGCCAGGATTCTCCATATCCTTCTGTAAACAAGATAGAGGAATTTCACATATATACATAAATTTCTTAAGCATTAAGAACAATCAACTAAAATAAAGAATACATGCATAAACTAGGCTCTACCACCTAATTTGAAAACTCAGCTATGCGTAACATAGGCATGCATTCTTATCTATCGTTTCAAACTTTGAAACGAATTCCACTTCAACGCTTCCATTTATCATCGAAGTAGTAGCTTTCATTTTTGCAGGGCAGTAACTATTTATTTTCTTTGTTCCCTGAATTTTCATGGATCGTTTACGCTGACACTCAGAAGACAAGTGCGTTCGGTAATTACCCGAACGATGACACTGATAGTATGTCACTTTCTTGTCTTTACTTCGGTAGCTACCCCTCCTGTTGATGAACAGAGATTTTTCACTTTCTTCATGACACTTCTTCCACTTTAAAAATTCATTTTCACTAGTAGGGTAATTTTCTCTGATTCAACATTGATCTGATGTTTAGAAAGTAAGTGTTCATTTAAATTGGCTGTCTTACAAAGGTCTGAAATACATATCGCACACTGAACAGTTTGTGAACAATTGGGGTTTCCATCATCAGGGCTGTATCCGTTGTGAACATTATCATAATGTCTCTTCAGAGAAAACCTTTTAGTGAATGTCTTATCACACAGTTCACACTTCAAATTGGCTGTCTTACCAAGGTCTGAACTACATATCGCACACTGAACAGTTTGTGAACAATTGGGGTTTCAATGTCTCTTCAGAGAAAACCTTTTAGTGAATGTCTTATCACACAGTTCACACACATGAGACGTCATTCTAAGTTATTAAAACTGAATCACTCAAAAGTTCATAACAAACTACTTACACTTAAAACTTCACAACAAAAATTCTACACACACATTCGACATTCCAGTTGACATTTAGAACCTAACTTAGGCCTACTCTTATAAATAGATAAGTTATTAATTTAACTATTTCAAAGGCAATAACTTCGACCTAAACTCAACTGAAAGGCCCAACTTACTTAAAATAAACCTAGACCTACCACTACAAAAACTGCAATCTAACAAATTCACACACAAACACAACTCAACCTAACCCTCTTTCTTGAGGAATCCGAAAAATATAGGTTAAGTGAATACTTAAAACTTAATAAATAATTCATGCACGTAAAACATTTAATTGTCAATACCTAATAACAAATCAGCTTCAGCACACTCACAGCACTTTAATTTTCATAATCATAAAACACCTTTTCAAGCAGCTCGTCAAAAGTAAATAAACAGTAAAGAATAAACACCTTTTCCTTTACAAAACCAAAACCACAATGCACAGTTTGACAGTTTGTTTGCAACTGCTGCAACTGTTGAATGAAACAACTATCTAATCAGGACCAATACAGAGTTACAGTGAAGCTATTACACAAATAGCTGTTATCCCAGGAACTGTTCCAAGGACTACTGTGCATGTGGAAGAGGAGGTGCTCGTGGGTACAGAACGTCGAGTGTATTGGTCCTGATTAGATAGTTGTTTCATTCAACAGTTGCAGCAGTTGCAAACAAACTGTCAAACTGTGCATTGTGGTTTTGGTTTTGTAAAGGAAAAGGTGTTTATTCTTTACTGTTTATTTACTTTTGACGAGCTGCTTGAAAAGGTGTTTTATGATTATGAAAATTAAAGTGCTGTGAGTGTGCTGAAGCTGATTTGTTATTAGGTATTGACAATTAAATGTTTTACGTGCATGAATTATTTATTAAGTTTTAAGTGTTCACTTAACCTATATTTTTCGGATTCCTCAAGAAAGAGGGTTAGGTTGAGTTGTGTTTGTGTGTGAATTTGTTAGATTGCAGTTTTTGTAGTGGTAGGTCTAGGTTTATTTTAAGTAAGTTGGGCCTTTCAGTTGAGTTTAGGTCGAAGTTATTGCCTTTGAAATAGTTAAATTAATAACTTATCTATTTATAAGAGTAGGCCTAAGTTAGGTTCTAAATGTCAACTGGAATGTCGAATGTGTGTGTAGAATTTTTGTTGTGAAGTTTTAAGTGTAAGTAGTTTGTTATGAACTTTTGAGTGATTCAGTTTTAATAACTTAGAATGACGTCTCATGTGTGTGAACTGTGTGATAAGACATTCACTAAAAGGTTTTCTCTGAAGAGACATTGAAACCCCAATTGTTCACAAACTGTTCAGTGTGCGATATGTAGTTCAGACCTTGGTAAGACAGCCAATTTGAAGTGTGAACTGTGTGATAAGACATTCACTAAAAGGTTTTCTCTGAAGAGACATTATGATAATGTTCACAACGGATACAGCCCTGATGATGGAAACCCCAATTGTTCACAAACTGTTCAGTGTGCGATATGTATTTCAGACCTTTGTAAGACAGCCAATTTAAATGAACACTTACTTTCTAAACATCAGATCAATGTTGAATCAGAGAAAATTACCCTACTAG